AAGCCTTTTTCTGCATGCCTGCTCCTGTCATGGCACATGTAAAGAAACATTTTTTTCTTTAATTAGGCCAGTCTCGTTGTATGCATGACATGTCTCTCTTTTTCTTTAAATGAACGTCTGCTTCCTTTCTTGAGTAATATTGCCCTTGTATGTTTCTTATACCCTACGCTTGCCGGAAAGCCTCCCGGTGCACACGCTCTAGCCGATAGCGCTTGAGGAAACGCGTCCTTAGCAACTTGCCGGGAACGCCGCCTACCGGGAAGATTAACCTTCCAAAGACTTGTGCAGCTAGCTGCCTATGTTGCTGAGCAGACTCAAAACTGCAAGGAGCGCCATCAATCCCGATAAGGCTCCTTTGTGTGCAGGTTTATGTACAAGGATGAAAATTGTTCAAGGAAGAAAGCGAAAACATCAAGAAAACTTAATTGTTTCAAAGTTTTGCAACTTAGCTTTCTTTGTTGTTCATCCTGCATAGTGGGCGGCCAATGGTTTCATGAACATCAATGGTGTACCCACACCTCTGCTCCCCCCCGCGAAACTTGCACACGAAGGGGCTCTTCTGTCTTTAAGAAAGAAAGAAGACAAGGCCGGCTAGGATGCTGACGGGATGTTAGCCATAGCCTTGCAAGGATTTATATTCACAATACAACATTACGTATAACATACATAAGAGAAATGTACATACACAAGGGTTGTGAAACACTTAAACTTTTTACTTCGCAGAGGATCTGTGCCTGGCTTTTTAACAAAAGATCACATGCCACAAAGGCCAACTTGTACAGAAGTGGTTGTCGGGAAGCCGCGCCTCTCTAGGCGTGCTGCATTCTGCGACGCGCTTCCCGAAGGTCTTGCCAGTATCAGTCGCGCACTGCTCCTTGCTTTGCTTCCCGAAAACTTTGTCAGCAAGAGCTAGCGATTTGCCGGCAAATGCTGTAACTGCTTCCCGGTATAGCTTACCAACGCAAATCACTGCATCCTTGTCAGGATGGATCATGATCACCTCCATGGGCCCTGTCATCTTCAATATGTTGTAAGCATAACGAGATGTTGCCATGAACTTGGCCAAGGCAGGATGACCCAGAATGCCTTGCAGGGCAGTGGCAGCTTGACAACGTCAAAGACGATCTTCTCGGTTCGGTAGTTGATTGGATCACCAAATGTGACCGGCAAAGTGATCTACCCCTTCGGCTTGGTCCTCCCCGGGTTCACTCCTTGAAATGTTCCTGTTTCTTGGAGGTCCTCATCGGGGATTTGCATCTTCTTAATCACCGAAGGGGAGATCAAGTTGAGACCGGCACCACCATCTACCGGCATCTTTGTTACCTTGATGTTGTGGATTGTTGGTAATACCAACAATGGCAAGCTACCAACACCAGTAGTGCGATCTGGGTGGTCTTCGGCATCAAAAATGATGGACGTGTGCGACCACTTCAAAGGCTTCTGGGCATCTATTGTCGGCCCTGCTGCATTTATCTCCCAGGCCCATTGCTTGAGCTATCGGTGAGAGGAGTGCAAAGATGCCCCTCCATCAATGCAGGCACAATCAACTACATTCTGGAACCCTTGATCAGAGTCATCCTCATCTTCATCTTCATCTTCTTCATCATCTTTCTTGTCCCGGCCACGAGCGGGCCTCTCCTTCTACTTACCGGCCTTCCCGCGACAGGCTCCACGGACGCCCCGGTTTTTCTTCCCGGCACCAGCAGCACCATCTTGGGCCTTCTCCTTGTCGCGCTTTTCGTATTCCTACTTTTGCTTCTCAGCAAGGAATTCTACTTGGCGGCAATTGTTGAGGTCATAGCCAGCTGTGCGGTGGATCTTGCAGAAAGGACCGTCAGGTTTTTTCTCCGGCAGCAACTTGACCAGACGTGCAGACGGCAATTTGCTTGCCAATATCACTTGTCTTGGACTTCTTGCCGACCGTGCCTTCAACTGCCAACACAGCCTTGTGCTTGTGTTTCCGGGGGCGCTTCCTGCTGGTTTTCTTTGGAATGGAAACCTCATCATCATCAGTCGACGATGACGGCATCCTCAGGAATTTGCCTCCCTTCTTCAGCCCGTGCACATTTGTATGCAAGAAGGTACAAATCGGCAACGGTTTTCACTTGTCGGATGTTCATCTTCTCGCGCATCTTGTGGTTGCACACGTTGTTGTGGAAGGCAACGAAGAGCATACACCATGGGATATCTCATTGTATATCCCTTGTGACATCAGACATCACCAAAGCAAAAAGATAAAGGCTCAAAGCTGACCCTTGGCGCACTCCTATTTTAATCAGGAAGTCATTAGTGTCAGACATCACTTGTTTGAAAATTTGTCGCAACATTATCGTACATGTCCTTGAATGAGGGTAATGACTTTGTTGGGACTTTGTGTTTCTCCAAGGCCCACCACATGACATTCCACAGTATCTTATCGTAGGCCTTCTCCAAGTCAATGAACACCATATGCAAGTCCCTTTTTTGCTCCCTGTATCTCTCCATAAGTTGTCGTACCAAGAAAATGGCTTCCATAGTGGACCTCCGAGGCACGAAGCCAAACTGATTTTTGATCACACTTGTCATTCTTCCTAAGTGGTGCTCAATGACTCTCTCCCATAGCTTCATTGTATAGCTCGTCGGCTTAATTCCACGGTAATACTACAACTTTGAACATCCCCCTTGTTCTTGAAGATTGGTACTAATATAATCCGCCTCCATTCTTCTAGCATTTTGTTTGCCCAAAAAATGAGGTTGGAAAACTTAGTTAGCCATACTATCTCTATGTCTCCAAGGCCTCTCCACAACTCAATGGGGATACAATCAAGGCCCATGGTCTTGCCTCCTTTCATCCTTCTAAAGCCTCCCTAACCTTAGACTCCCGGATTTGTCGCATAAAACGCCAGCTGGTATCATCAAAGGAGTCGTCCAGCTCAATGGAGTATATAGGATGATATGCAGCTAATAACTTGGTTGAATTTGAATTGTTCATGATCTCAGAGGCGATGCATATGTAATGCACTTTCTTGTGTTCAGATACTCCATGCGGATCGGTTTAAAGGCTAGAGAAAAAAACTGGGGATAGACAAGTATAAAGGGTCAGCGATCCCTCTGTGCACCTTGTCCACCGTTAATTCCTCGTATGCGTTGCGATGTGGCTGTTCCTTGGGAGTCCAATTGGCGCACCATTAATATCAGCTCATAATCATCCAAATTAGCAAACTTGTGCACAAAACAAAGTTTGCATGTCCCTTTACCTTTCCCAGCCAACGCATGCTCGAGTACAAGTGATAAGATCTGGGGCAGGCCTACGTACACCCAACCGGTGTCCTGTGACACCAGGTAATTTTTGTGATTACGTGTATATAAGTAGCTCAAGTAGTCGTGTGACACCGGTAAAAAGCATCGATGGAACCACGAACAAGACGGAGCGCAGGCGCAAGCCCATCTGATCTGACGGCCCATGTGGTCAAGTAATACGTGATCAATTTGATTGATTGAATGCCCCTAAAAAAATCTGATTGAACGACATGTCGTGGGCCTGTTGCCTACTGGTTTCTCCCCTCCTCTGCCTGATTCCTCCAAGGCCATAGCCTCGCCTTCTTCCTGTTCGGCAACCCGCCACACACCTCGCGGCATGCTGGCGCTGCTATACATCGCTGGAGAAACATTAAGGCAAAGGCAACTCGCTCATCCCTTCATGCATCTATTCCATCTAATTATTGCCGTCCAATTGGATAATTGTGAGTTTCTAATTTTTGGAGTAATTCACATTTGTTTGAGAATTGTATTTCTATGATCTCAATTTTTATAGCGGTTCACATCTATTTGCAAATTAGATTACTGTGATTTTTTTGTTTTGGAGTGACTTTTTAATTTTAACAATTATCTTTGTTTTCATAGTCTGGAGCCTTTTATGCTCTACTACTATTATTATTCTACAGTACATAATCAACTAGTATCTCAAATGAAACGATTTATTTTACCCACTTGGTAAGCATTTCATTGTTGAACATTTTTAACTATTGAGTTCTAATTTTTATGCATGGCAATATAATATTACTTGATATCCACGCATATGTGATAGTACTAAACTGGGACACCGGGACATTTTTGTCCTAGGTCCGCCCCTGGATAAGATTGGGCATGCACCATTACTCCGGACCGATGGGAGTTAATTAAAGAAAGAGAGGAGAGCAGGCCTGGTATGCGCACATGGGCAAGAAGAAAGCGCAGGGAGGCGATGGATTAGTTAGAGAGAGGGGACAACAGGCACGGGCACTAGCGCACGTGCTAGAGGAAACATCCTGAGGAAGAGAAGCCGAATGTTAGCACATTAAACGGACATGGAGACGAGAGATTTTAACCTGGCCATGATGCTGCCTTGGTTACCCCTATTTTTTGGATGGCCCTGTAAACCGGTGCAGAGGCGATACTATTTAATGTCAGTTGAGCTGCTATGCTAGTATGGGCTGATCATTGTACCCAAAGTCACCAAAATTATAAAGGTGAAGTACAGGTATTGCAATTGTCCCAATTAGATGTCTAACATATAGTTTAATCCAATTAATTATGCTCTGAAGTTCTACATATCAATTGGTACATGAACAGTACAAGTTCATCTCGACCCTGCAGCTAATCCATGAGCATCAACCCTCATATATTACCATACTTTCATCTAGCACGTTGGTTTACAGCAAAATCAGCATGTAAAACTCCCACATAAAAAACATGTGGCCATGCATATTGATGTCTCCACAATACCCAAAGTGGCCATTTCAGTAGAATAATCTGTCCTTGTGCCACTGTCTGGTTATCTCGTAGTTCATGTGCATGCGGATGCAACCTTCCATTCCGTCCATTGGTGAATGTGCCAATAAGAATGTGAATCGGATACCCTAAGAGTTGGAATTCTGAACACTTTCATGGTCCATCAGGGAGCTCAATATTGTTTGCCTCTGCGCTGCAGTGAACGGGGAAATGAAAAGAGCATAACACGCGTGACTGACCAAGAGCGGTACCTGCAAAGCGTCCTCCCGGGCATAACTGAGGTTCTGATAGTTCTTGTAGCCCTTCATCTTCATCTCCCGGTACTGATCCCTCGGGAACAGCATCTTTTCCCACGGAATCCCCTGCACGTCCTTCCCGTTCACTACGTCCTCCGCGGACACGTCCGGCATCAAGTTATCCTGCAAAACAAAAGAGAAAAGTTACAAGTTTTGCAACGCAGATGGATCGAATGGGCAACGGGGAGCAACCAAATATCGAAAGGGTCAGCCAGAGGCGGGCGTACCTGGTCATAGTTGACGAGGTTGGCGAGGAGCTCATTCTGGTTGACCTCGCCGAAGGGATTGTTGTCCCCCTGATCCTCTATGAGCTCCTGGATGCTCTGGAGGATGAACTCTAGGTTATCCTCCAGCTCGAATTCGTCCATCTTATTCCACGCTCCAATCCAGCCAAAAAGAATCACACTGCACGACAGGAAAAAATATCAACAATCTTGCCCCAAAGAATCCAACTCGGAGTCGGGCCACAAACTCGGGGCAGGGGGGCAGACGACCCAAGAATCACCCGAATCAATACCAATCTCTCCAAGAAGTCGCCTCGATTAGTCGGATTTAGAGGTGGCGGAGCAGAAAAGCGTGGGGGATTGGGGAATTTGTTTACCCTTTGTGGGGTGTGAATGCGAACTAAAAAGAGGACGCTCGAATGGAAGGCGGCGAGACGACGCAGGCGGAGCTGCACAGCAGAACGGGATTGCCCATTGCGAGTACTACTAAATGGGTTAATTGCCGCATACGCATTTGTTTTTACCCCGATAAACCCCGAAACGTTTGGATTTTAATCATATCATCCCGAATGTTTTTTCATGGCAACTTTAGTTGGCGCGAGGTGGTAACTTTAGTTGTTAAAACATGGTAACTTTGTTCAAGTTTGTTTTTTGTCAGAAAATTACAATGTTTACCAACCTCACTTGAACTAAAATTGTCATAAAAAACATTCGGGTTGCCATGCTTAAAATCCGAACGTTCGGATTTATTATTTTTCATATTTTCTCTTAAACACAATACAAAAGTATAAAGAAAGTTTTAATTTAACTGAAATTTTGATAAGATTTAATTTGATTTGAATATGTAAGAAAAGAAAAGATTAGATTTAGTTGTGATTTCTTAATGAATTTATTTAATTTGATTGAGTTAATGCAGGACGTGATTTTGAGAAAGTATTGAGTTGGTTTAGATTATTCCAAATCACTCTAGTTTGTGTCGGTTTAAATTGTGTGCGGCGTCCGTTGGGAGTATAAAAAATCGACAGAAAACTAAGAAAGGAGGGAGTCGTGGGGAGGAAAAACCCAAGGAAGGAGGCGATGGAATCAACTCACCTTTAACACTATTTACATTTAGTCGTTCAACATTGATCTCACCCACCATATTTGGATAACAAATATTAACACGGGGTTTATAGAAGGAAAGGGTACATTTCATGCCCATGGACAATCTTCAAAGTATGGGAATGGTCTCTCAAGTTCAAAACCGGCAAATCTTAGTCCGTCGACTTTTTAAATTGGATTACTTTAGTCCTTGGACTTAACAAAAGCAAATTGTGTGTTGACTTGAAATGGTTGTAACCAGTCATCGCCCAGGTGGCAATCTTCTTCTTCCTTCCCATTGTCACTCGATTGTACATTTTCTCGAGCAGTTGGTGCGTCTCAAGTAACAAAAAAAGAAGGTAGGTGTGGAGCTTGTGTGGCTTGGGACGGCGTACAAAGATGATGTATGCACACATTCCAGGGTCACCCTCCCAAGCGATGTGCTTTAATCCCAAGTATGATACCCTTAAAAGTGGTAGTACTCGGCTTAATCCTTGTCGGGTCTATATGCATCTTCTAAATTGTATCTGCATATATTAAGTTGAGGCTAATGTTGTCCATGAAGATTCGGGTCAGATAAAAGCCATCAACTATAGGGTCGAGTAACAATGTTGCCGTGCCTCCGTGACGGATGTTGGTCGGATGGTCTCTTCTGTCAAAAATGATTGAGATTTCCGACCAATGGTTATATTTCGGCACAGCTAGCTCCACGCCGTACACCTCGTGTGGAGCGCACGCTTCCTTTCCTTCATGCCGCGTGCATGACGTATATCATGTTAACGTCTTTAACTTCAGGAGGAAACTATTTTTGGCGGGCGTTGGACTGGTCTCTATCCTCATTACGAGGTTGGCCCTTGCCTTGAGTATCGGCCACAATTTTGCTGGCATGTTTAATCACCTAACAGTTATGGTTGGTGTGCATGGCTGGCTTGTCTGGAGTGTCGTCGATGGCACATGGTTTATCCAATATTTTGTCCAATGTACTTGGACCGTTCTTGCCTCCATGAAAACGCTTCCTCTTGTTACTGCCATGACGGTTGGTAAAAACTGCGTTGACTGCAATCTCCTCGGCATCACTACTACTGCCTCTATTGTGACATTTGTTGTTTCTGTTGCGTTGAGGTTTTCCATTACCGTCGTGCACCTTGGAGGTGCCTAGATCGCCACCGGGGTTGCTCTTCCAAGCCAACCAGTTGTCCTCACCGGCGCAAAACCGGGTCGTGAGGTGGATGAGGGCCTACATTGATCGCGGCTTCTCTTGTCCGAGCTCTCTGGCCAGCCATTCATCATGAATGTTGTGCTTGAATGTGGCTATTGCTTCAGCGTCCGGGCAGTCTACTGCTACTTATAATAGTGTTGGGATTCCGTGGAAAGGAAGGATAATGTAGTATAGTAGCAGATAGTATTTTTCTCAGTTAAGAACCAATGTTTGTCGAATTAGAAGGAGACGACACACAAACCACTTTGACAGTACATGCACACAGACAAAACAAATGCTTGCACCCAACAAAGGCAAGGGGGCGTCACTCCCCTTGTTCTTGCCAGTTGCAAGTATCAAATCCGGTAGTGGTAGATATAATAAATAAAAGTGAAAAATAAAAGTAAAAGTAAATAGTGAGGAATTATAAGATCTGTTGTAATATAGAGGTGAATCGACCCGGGGGTCTATCATAAATAGTATCGGTGGGTAAGTAAATTACTGTTGGGCAATTGACAGAAAAGTGCATAGTTATGATGATCATTCATGGCATAATTAATATATAGGCATTATGTCTACGACAAGTAGACAATAATCCAACTGCATCTGCTGCTATTACTCCACCACAAGACCGCTACCCAGCATGCATCTCAAAGTATTAAGTTCATGACAAACGGAGCAACACATTAAGCAAGATGACATAATGTAGACAGAATAAGACCAAGCAATATGTTCGAACCCCATCTTTTTATCCTTAGTAGCAATAATACAATATATGCCTTGCAACTCCTCCTGTCATAGAGTAAGGACACACAAGATTGAACCTACCACTCCCTCTAAAGATCTAATCATTAACTTGGCCAAAGAAAAACTCATAGTTCAAAAAGCATTGATAGCTATAAAATTACACATAAGAGAAACTTTAAAGAGATTCAAATACTTTTAGTGAATAATCTGATCATAAACCAACAATTCATCGGATCACATCAAACGCACTGCAGAAGTTTACATCGGATTGAGCTCAGATGAGATCATTGTATTGAAGATCAAACAGGAGAGAGAGAGAGAGATCTAGCTATTGCTATGGACCCGTAGGTCCTGTGGGAACTACTCACATATCATCGTGAAGGCACCAAGGTTGATGAAGATTGCCTCCCTAGTTGTTCCCCCCTCTGGCAGAGTACCAGCGGAGGCCTTCAGATGTGATCACTTCAGAACAAAGGCTTGCGGTGGAAAAAGAATTTTTTTCAGGACTCGCTCTGGGATTCTAAATATTAGGGAATTTATAGGCCAATAATTAGGGCAATCAGAGCCATGAGTGGGCCACACGGCACCTAGGTGCGCCCTACCCCTAGGGCGTGGCCTGCCTCATGGCTCCCTCGTGCATCTTCTGGTTTCCTCTCAAAGCTTCCAGGGTCTCTTTATGTTCATAAAAATCGTCAAAAAGTTTTGTCGTGTTTGGACTTCGTTTGTATGGATTTACCGAAAAACCAAAAACATGCAAAAAATGGAATTGGCACTAGGCATTGATTTAATACGCTAGTCCATGACAACAATATAAAATGGCATATAAAGTATACAAAAGTGATAATATAACAGCATGAAACGATAAAAAATTATATATACATTGAAGATGTATTGATGCGGAGCATCCTACGATCATCCCCATGTACACTCGAGCATACGCCATTGGACCTAAGGTACACCCGAGGAAACCATGGAGAGCCCAAGGACCAAGGCCAAGTGTGCATGAGAGCAAAGGAAGGAGAAGGAAGAAGAGTCTTCTGCTACAGCAGCCGGACATCCGGCCATGACCCGGACATCCGGCCCAACGCCCGGAAATCCGGCTCCCTTCTATCCAGAGAGCACCAGAGTCGGCCAAGTCAGCCCGGACATCCGGCCTATCACGAGCCGCCGGGCATCCGGCCCAGCGCCCGGAAAATCTGACGCCCCATCACAGAAACTGGACCCTGCCAGCCCGGACATCCGGCCCCAGCGCCCGGACATCCGGCGTCTCGAGAAGGCCCGGACATCCGGCCCGACACCCGGACATCCGACCCCCTACCTGTGTGTAGCGCATCTGGACCGAGGCCCATGTACCCCTTCGCCCACCTAGACTATATATACTCCTCCTCTTCCCTCTTTCTAGGGTTAGCGTTGTGTTAGCTCATTTGTGAGATAGAGCTTCGCTCATCCATCCGGATCTACTCCATGAGAGAGACTGCGGCCCCTCTTCGAAGAAGATCCACTTGGATTCAAGACCTCCTCACGGAGAAGATCCCCTCGTGGATTCAAGACCTCCTCACGGAGAAGAACCGGTTACCCTTTGTATCGTCCCTTGTTGACTTTGGATCTTGTATCTCATTTTGTGTTCATGGATCTAGCACATGTGTGATCATACTTATTGGTTTGAGTGTTTCTCTTGTGTTCCCCTTGTGATTCCCCCTCGTGACTCCCCTCATGTTCTTTGTGTTCTTCACGGGATCCGCTCCTTTCATGAAAGTTCGGCCCCTAGGGTTCCCACCCTACATCATCTTGGATCAGAGCCAGCTTGTCTCATGATATCATCTTGGTATCATGAGCCGCGTTGATCATGATTTCGGAGCCTCTCCTCTTTGTTTTCTAGCCTAATTTTGTTGATTTTGTCCTAAATTTGAAAAATCCCCACCAAAAATAGCCCCAAATTTATTTTGTGATTTGTTGGTTTGATGATGTTTTGTTGATTTTGATCCACGGATTCGTTGTGTCTTGAGTAGATCTATCTTTCCCCCAAGTTTCCCCATTTTCCATCCACGAAATCCATCAAATTTTGCCTCTGAAATCATCAATTTCCGCCCCAAACGAGATCTGGAATCATCGGGCCGGA